AAACACAACCACTGCTAAGCTTACGTGGGTCATGATTCATAATTGATATGTGATGGAGAAAAAGTAAATACTGAAGAGTAAATAGTGCAGTTCATAAACATGACAGTGGTCTAGTTTTGATTTTTTGTCATGAAAATTCCAAGGTACTGTTTAAAGGGAACATGAAGGCAGATGCTTTCATTTTTTATTTTCACAAATACACTGAAACAGATTGTTAGTAGACACATGTAATTATCCACAGAGCTCTAGTGATGACAGGGACAAAGCTATGAAAAACAACTGCTGCTTTTCTAACAAAAAACCCTCTCACACTTGACTATCAAGGGAACTATACATTTTTGTATTTCTTCAGTAAAATTACCTATGTGCTACTGAAACAAAGCAGGAACCAGAGAAAGGGCAATTTATGTGTCTTCCATTACGGAAAACAGGTAAACAACAGCTCAGTTACCACTTTTTAGCTGACGTTACCATATCTGCTGACAACTGTCAGCTGTTAGCTCTTGTCCACACTCCACAGAACTGGTATGGCTGAAAAATACCAGCAGCAGAATATTTCATATAGCTGCTGAATGGTGCCAACTCTTTCATCAATAAATTTAGCTCAGATTTGAAACAAAATATTTGGGGGAAAAAAAAATCAAAATATTAGGCATATGTAGTACTGAAAAAAAAAAACAGATAAAAAAGAAAAGAAGGCAAAAACCATCTTGTCCCTCTGCAGCTGAAACTTCAGTATATTTTCAGCTGTTTGGGAATTTTTTTGAAGCACCTGTGACAAGAAGGCCCCTCTTCAGAAGGACTTTGCCCTCTGCTTCCCCAGTGTTCTCATCTAGAAGTAACAACAGATTTATTTAACCATATTTTGCCTTTCCTTTTTTGCTATAGTCACTTCTGTCTTTTTGAGAAAATTGTTCATAGTTGGGACTTCATAGCTGCACCCAAAATTCCAAAGATTATCCTCTTATAAGTCTACTAATTCAGGGCCTTCCTTTTGTCACAACCTTCCTTTAGTTCCTCAGCGTCCGTGAAACTGTTAGTTAACTCTTCTCAAATGTTTTGAAAATGAGATGTGTCAAATAGTAAAAGGAGTTCTGAAGTATTTATCCTTCTGCTCCTGTTTACTTTTTCTTTCCTAAGTAAATCAACTGAACTGTGATTATAAGCACACAATATTTCACAAAACAAAAAGCTTACGTATTTTTTGGCACCGCAGAGCGTGTTTGTCTTCTGATTCCTCACACTCAAAACAGCATGACTTGCACAACTGGCCTGTTCATAGCCATAAATTTACATGGCAGTATTTACATAAAACTTTTGACAGTCTCACAATATGAGTTTCTTGTGGCATTATAGTGTATCTCACAACATATTCCCATGATATATTAATAACATCAACGTGGGTGTAGTTTGTCCCTCTTATCAGATTTAGAGCTGGCCGTCACAGGTGAAGAAGTACAATTATCCCTATTTCCTACCTCATGATTTCAGTGTCAGGAGATATCAAATTTTAAGTAAAAGGTGGGCCCTGCACAGGAAACATCTTCCTTTAAATAATGGTCTTGATTTCTCTCCTAGTCCAAGCTAATTTGCCAAATCATATCCCATAAAAACTGTGATTGCATTCCATAGTATTTGGAAATGAAATAACAGACTCAAAGGAACTAACAGTAAAACAGATTTCTGAATAAAGCAGGTAACATAGCAGACAAACCTGACTCTTCTTCTTTGGATCAGTTACAAAACTAGTGAAAAAATCAGTGCTATTATTTCCACAGGGAAATAAGCAACTCTGTTAGAATTTACAAAAATAACCCAAGCAGGCTTGAATTATGAGTCCTGTCAAGTTTAGCGTGAAAAACTAAAAGCAGATTGATGGGAAGCTACAAGGCACTTTTATTTGCTAGCAGGTCGGGTAAGTACTGTGATACCACAGAAGTCCCCTGTTGATTTGGCATAATATAGCTTTTATGTTTGTTGTTAAGGAAAAAACCAAACAGCACACTCAAACCTAAAGATGATGCCAAACTGAAGAACTGTCATACACCAAGGGCATGAAAATAACAAGAAAAACATCATAAATACTGGCAAGATATAAAATAAGATTTAACTGGCAAAACAGCAGATTATACACGTTGAGAAAAATATAACAAATCATCAGCATGTAATCCATGAATACAAAGCATATACTCAGAAAAGACAGCAAACATACTAAAATTAGACTGAAACATCTATATCACCTGTTCTAGTCTCCTTGTATCTGCAAAAGTATGCTAATTTTGGAAAATTGTGGAAGGCAGACAATAAATTAGGTAAGCCTTAGAAACAATCTGTACAACACCCATTAATAACAATTCTTTTGTTCTAGAAGTGCTACTGGAAAGGAAACCATAATTTTAGTGACATATTCTTTAGCAACAGTTCAATGTCTCAACATCCAAGTCAGGTTAGACACCTCATTCCCTGTACACCTGAAACCCCTGTCAAACGATTTTAGAAAGAGCACGGAATACAGGGTTAGTTCAACAGCAATTCCAAGCTTTATCTGCCCATGCACTACACTGTGGACGAAGATAAGGGTACTGTCCCTCAAATGGAATTGATGAGAAACAACACAGAGATGCCTTGTGCTTCACTGTCAGAAAGAGTTAATGACTTGGGGGTGGGGGAGCAGAAATCAAAGAACCAGACACCTTAATAAACTGATCCAGAGACAGAATTCAAACCAAAACAATCCAGAACCCAAAGTCTTCAGGCTTCCCAAACTACAATAAATATAGCAATGACTCTCAAAAATTTCTGGTTTAGAAAGACAGCTAAAAGAAACTTTAAATCTCCAGTGAGAAAAATGGGATTGAACTGTAGAAAGAAAGAAAAGAAATCCCACCAAAACAAACCAAATCAATTCTATACTGTGTTTTGGGAAGGTTGTCTCTGGAGCCTGATACAGCTAATGTTAATAACATGCAAATAGTAGTCCTGGGTATAGTAGGTATAATAACAATATACTATCAGTAGATTTTCCACTGGATTATTACTCATTGTGGTCACTGTGAGTGTAGGTGACATTCACTGATAAAATCTACTAGCTTAGAAATTGCTATTATGAAGTTATAACAGGGTAAACAAAGATGGTTGAGAATACCTTTTTTCCGCATTGTTTTTTCCTCTTTTATATCTCTCTGATTCTTGCAGTGCAATTGCACCTTAACATGCACTGCCAGGACTTGAAAGCAACTACATTGTTCTACAAAAAGAAAGACTTCCCACCTCTTTTTGCAAGCTACTTCAAGCAGCATATTGCCTACCACATAGAGCACCTACAATTTGCTCGTGGACAGACTACTTCTTCCCTCATGCATCTTCCCTTGGCTGTTAACACAAAACTCGACAGTCCCCATTCTTTGAGTCAACAAGTGACCATCAGTCAGCACTGTACCTGTCACATGGACAAACTGTAGTGGGCCATCAGTCCCTCTGTTTTCTCATGGACTTCAGTTCTATAATTTTCCACTTTTCAAAGGTCACTCAGGACTCAAAGCCGAAATAACACAAATTTCTAACAGAGTGTCACATTTAATTAGTTTTTAAAAAATCAAATAATAGGAAAAGGTTTCAGTCCTGTATTTTATAATGGTGGCTTCTGAACAATTCAGATTGTTTCACTACTCTTTTTAAAGTGTTCCCTACCAGATTCCTGAGAAGCTTCCTAATTCCATCAGGACAACTACCCAGCCCAGGCAGATCTCTGGTCATTAGAGGTAGCTATGTCTTTTGGTACTACAGAGTTGGCAAGTGGTCCTGGTCAGGCTAAGCAAGTGTAGCATGTCCTCTTTAGGTTACACAAAAGAACAAAGCTAAATCTTTGCAGACCTCAACCCAGAGAATCAGCTGAGAACAGAATCAAAGAACATCCTCAGAGCAGAGAGAGAGACTTTCTCTTCCAGGAGAGTTTAGGATTTAGACTTCGGCATTCAGATGTATTTACACAAACTTATCTTTCAGTATGAGTTAACTACATCAAAAGACTATTTTGAATAAAAATAAACATAGGAAAAATTCTTCACAAAATTATCTTCCTGCTTTTTTGAGGTATTACGTTGAATGCTCACTTTTTCCATCAAATCACAAAAGATATGCTACAGCTTGGCTTGATACATTCAGTTTCTGATTTATCACAGCTCTAATAAGGAATTAATAGTTCTAATTAAAATCGCTTTAAGTCATTATATTTCTTTGATTAGCTATTTTAACTTTATCCAAGTAAGTAAATGAAATTTCTGTTACCTTAACATTACAAAGTAGAATAGAACTAAACTTACATTGACCTTTTAATGGCACTAACATCCAGCTTTTAATTCCAATAGCTCAAATAGCCACGTTTGTGGCTCACTGAAATTCAGAAAGTGCCAGTTTTGATCATAAAAATACAGATGCATCCGCTTTAGGAAGGAACACTGTTCCCTCCAGAAACAATGTGAATACAAAGAATATAAAGACTTTAAACATCCTAGGTTTACACATGACAGAATTACATAAAGTGTTGTGTGCTGCTGAACTGAGGTCAATGCATGCCTGTTAACATGCTGAACAGCAAATGGCAGAGATAAGGTATTAAAAAAGATTAAAGCTATCTCAAGAATCCGTGGATATAATCTTAGCTTTTCTAAAACAGTCCTGTGCTACCCACGTTTATTTTTTGAGGATCTGACCCTTCTAAACGGCTTTATTCTCAAATTTTCTGGTACAGTTATAATGAAAAACAACAACTTTTTGCTTTTATCTATTAAAATACTCAGTAAAAATTACATTTACTATTTTGCATGTCAGCAAAATGTGTGCTGGGTTTGAAGGTATCTTGGGATAAAATGCAGTCTAAGCAACAAATATGAATCTGCTAATTCTACCTGTACAGCTGTTATGTTAAATGAAATGAGTAAATGAAATGAGTTAAATGAGCAGATGAGTAAACAGATGAAAGAAAAGAGGTTTCTGAGTACCGTGACTGTTGCATCGTGATGTTTCCACAAGCCGACTGTTTTGGTCATAGCACGCCATGGCTTGGTAACGATAGCCTTGTCCACATTCCTTAATGTCTCCTTGTACCTTCATTCCCAACAACACTTCCGGTTTACCCTCTGGTAAAATACAGTCTGACCAATTTCCCACAGGTTGAGCACTGTACTTGTCACACGGACAAAACTGATTCTCAATCAGAGGATACAACTGAGAATTTTTGCATTTATCCCTTTTCTTACTTTTTCCTAAAAAGAAGAAATAATTATTTTAGAAAGTTTCTATCATTTACAGCTCCTCAAAAAATTCATTTAGACTTCTGTAACAAGGGGTTGCAATCAAATACACATGCCTAAAACTAGTAACATTAATCTGCCACTCACCTTCCAGTTCCCATTAAATTTATTTTTAATCTTCTCTTTGGTAAAGTTTTCTTGGTTTTCCTTTCCATATTAGACCACTCATATATATATTAATGCAGAATTCTTTGCAAAAGTAGTTTTAAAAATGCTTGTTACTTTGTTACTACTCTAAATTCATATTCTGTAGTTTTTTCCTTGCTATTCAAAACAAAGCACTGGAAGCAACTCTGCAGCACCCTTGGTTTTTGTATTTACTACTGCTTTCATTTACAATAGAAAGAAGGTACCTGAAAAGTTTATCTTTCTTTTGACAACACAACTTCATAATAAAAATACACTCTGCATTTTCACCACAAATAATTATGAATTCACTCCAAGTCAGCTGTACATGTTAGCCTGGGTAGCACATCGCCCCAGAGAATACACCACAGCACATATCACAGTCTTCACAAGTTTGAATGGGTAACTTAAGTCAGGACAGGGAAATATCTCAGTATGTTAATAGTGTGGTAGGAGAATTTGTTCCTTCTTGGTTTATGTTTAAAAATGAAAAAAAAAGAAAAAGTCAGTTTTTTTTTTTTCCTCTGTGGAAGCAAGCTTGGCATAAAATTCACTGGATTTGTAGGACAGTCACAGTGAGCCTTCTCCACGGGTTTTCTGATTTACAGGGGGGTGGAGTGGGGAATAGGTTTTGGATCCTATCTCATTCTTTCTGAGGCTGCTAATGGGCACTGTCCTTAGGTAGCTTTCCTCCGCCACAGACAATACAGACTAATTGGCAAATAGCACTGTGGCAGAGCCCAAGTCTCAGTCTTTAGCTTTCAATTATAATTTAGAAGCAGAAATTTTTTGTTTGCCTTTTTTTTTTTAATCTTCATTTCATGCAGAAGAAATAAAAAAGCAGATTAAAAAGAAAATGAAGAAAAAATTTTTCAAAGTAGAAGGTGTCATGTGGGAAAAGTTTGCAGAAAAGGGTAGGACGTCACTGGAAAAACTTCATTCTGTTAACTGAAACCTCAGGAGTGTTCAAGGGACACGAAGTAACTGACGGAGAAAGACCTAACGAAGAGGAAAATCACCCACAAAAGAGCATTCTTAGTTGTGTCAAGAAACAAGGCAGAAAATCAAGCAACATTGCATCATGCAGTGATCTGAAGGCAATGGAAGAACAGAGAACACAAAAGAACTTGGAGAGCAAACATTCACCCAGGGAAAGGATTGGCTAAATCATAAATCTGACACTCAAGACTGCAGCTAAGAAGTTCAAAAGAGGTAAACAAAAGCTTAAGGCTGAAGGTTTTGATCTATAGTAAGAGGCTGAAAAGCACCCAGATGCCACAGTAATCTAAAGCACCAAAACACCACCTGAGCAGGTAGTCCTGGTGTAGCCAAAACCAGAATTAGGAAAAAGAATTTGAGTGGGTTAACACCTGACCCTGTGAAGAAGAAATGCCTGTTGATTAGTCTGTCACTAATCTAAAAAAAAAAAAAAAAAAAAAAAAAAAAAAGAAAAAACCATTTTTAAACCCTTTGAGTAGGTTGCTCCCAAAACAAAAAAAAAAAAAAAAAAAAAAAAAAAAAAATCCACTTTCACTGGATTTAGTCTAAGCACCAGGGGAATTTTAACTATATTTTGTTTTATTACAGTTCAGGGGGAAAAAAAAAAAACCCACACAAAACCAAAGAAACCAGACCCAATTCAATCTGGCTAGAATTAAATGTGGTTAGACAATGCCAGCAAGATACAGATTGTGCATGGACATATCTGGTCCCTAAACTCTTAATTGAGAAAATGCACATAAACTAAGAAAATGCAAAACATTAATAGGGTTTGCAGCCACTCCGGTTTTCATTATCAGTTTGCCAATTCTAGTTTCTTGTCTTTTAAAAATTAAACTTGTTTAACCCTATTTGGGACTGCAAGTGATTTGAGAGTGAAGAGTTTTCCTTCCACAGAACAAAGAAAAGTTGTTCTGGACTTCTCCGAGTGCCTCACACTACCTAAATCATGTTGAAGAGCCCACACTGGGTGGCTTTTTACATCAATAAGCCATTCAGTTAGTGTTTGTGAGTTATAGCCTTTTTGACATTCACTAAATTGTCCAACATTTGCCTGTAAACTACCAGTCAAATAAAGTTTAAGCTAAAAAAATCTCTTGAAAAGATATTTTCATATTTTAAGCTATAACTCTGAGAAATTGCATTAGAGAGTATAACCAGAAAGGTTTGTCTTTTATATTTTTTAAATACTTAGCCCAAATAGATAACCTCAAGGACATAATTCTCTACAAATGACAAACCAGACAGCAGTAATATTCCTGACCAATTCATGCACAGGAGCAAGCTGCAGAATAAGGATTTGGAATAAACACAGTATAAAAACCTTTTAAATAGCAAACAATCGTGCCCTTCTTGGTGAAAAGATAACACAGGGTTCAACAAAAATGCAGGGAAAGATTTTTTAATTTTCTTTTCTTGGGCTGTATCGGACTGTTGGTTAATTATGCCACTTTACATTTTTAACCTCCCTGGAACAACAGCTAATGCTGAGTTGCCTGTCGGTAAAATAAATGGTATCCTTTGCAGTTTATGATGTCTGCTCCATTTAGAAGAAACCCTGGTCTCCTCTGTTCTCCTATCTTCTCTCTAGCCACTCCCACATGTCCAAGAGTCTGAGACATATGGCAGGAGTTTGCTCTCCCAAGGGGTTCTATTTTTTGTTCCACCAACAGTAACAGAGCACGACAGTGACAATGGGTCTGCTTTCTGCCATGATGTCAAACATTGCTTGCTTGTCTTAGGGGATCCACAGAACAACAAAGGTTTTAATCAAACCAGTAGCAATAATTAATAAGAGATGTAGTCTTTTTCTAGTTACTCTTACCGACAAGAGTGCGTTTCCTTGTCCTGACTCCTCCACAGTCCCCATTACAGGAAGAAAACTTTGACCAGTTCGTAAACTGACAGTCATCTTGGCAGGGAATCTGGCATGTCTGTGTTAAGGACGGTAATGGGCCAGAATATTTAAGGCACTCACTGATGTCAGCCTGTCCTCCGTCTTGTCTGCGACAAGTAATTGCTGGAAGCGAAAAGGCATTGAATTTAATTCAGAGGTTTTTTCATGAACGTCTCTATATTCAACTTAGTAAGTCTACCATATTCCAACACAAAATCCCAATGACATCCCAGAATAGCTATACAACAGCCTAACATTTGCAATCAGTTATACCTTGGATGAATACATTCAACATTTCTGACTTTTTTGAGATTCTGTTTAAATTTTTATTTATCAGGAATAAGGAATAGGGCTCTTTCATTAATATAGTCTTCAACAATGTTCTATTATTTTTCCCCATGGCTATATTTTTTTAAACATAGTTGCTTATCTATTATTCTAACCTAAGCCTCAGTAAATTTCATTTTATTTCCTTGCCGAAAACAACATAAAACTTATTACACAGTAACATGATTGGAAACTTGTAGTTGTTTGTTTACACAATAGATTCATATTTATGCTTCTTGGCACTTGACAGCACACAGTATATGTGGTATCTCATAACGACTGTGAACGTAATTTGGGTCACCAATTGTCACAGTAACATTCCATCCAAACACAATACATAATTCTGTATGCATATGAGGGAATATCATGTTTTATATTACACTTCACTCCATAATTTAAGCATAACACTTCAATTGTACTGACAATTATTGTTTTCTTGGTATGTGAATTGGAAAAAAATGTAAATTTTACTAAGCAAACTATTATGGCATAATCAAGTTCAACTGTTGAAGAAAAATGGGGTTTGAATGCAAAGTTTCACAATAAAACAGAAAACTGGGTATGAGTGACTTCATCCTGGAGGAAGAAAGAAGAATACTTGCACAAACTACTTTTCCTGCTACTGTCTGACAGTACTAAACTAAATTTCTGCTTCACGGTAACTGTAGGAAGATGAACATGCTGTTCCGCATGGTCCATTTCAAGCCTGTGTGCCTACTAAAACATATGTAAAGGTCCCAAGTGAATTGTTTTTGCCACACATCTATAGTAAAACACTGAAATGGGGGGGAGGGGGGAGCTTTTTTCCCACAGATGCTAAGCAAACAGCTTCCTCGATCCTGAACTACCCTTTGGAGCAGGGCTGCCAACGCTGTTTGTAATAGGCTCAGTACTGCATTAAGTTGTGCTTACTGGGAGACCAACCAGCTGTACATTGCCTAATACAATTATTCTGTTAAATCCTATTATTATTGGTGTCATTTATGAGTTTTACATGGTTTTTTCTTCAGATATATTTATAGTGATTCAATGAGCAAAATCAAATGTCCATAAAATGAAAATCCATACAACTGTTTTAAGGATGTGTTAACTGTACCTACTATAGGATTTCTAAAATTACACAAGTATTTTGGAAAACAGAAGTCAAACCAGAATCTTCCAACACAAGCCTAGGTTATGATTTTAGATTCCTGTGAGATTCTTTTCTCTGCTAATAACAGACATTGGTTTACTTGAGGTAAAAACACAGTTCAGACCAGCCCTACCATGTGGAAATCCACAGAGGTCAAACCTAAATCCTCTGTCTTGAGCTTGACCTTGGCATGTGCATGCATCAGCAAAACTAATTGCATTATCTTCACTGTGTTCTCAGAGAGATATAGGCCACCATTTTTAGCCATGAAAACTATACCTAGTCAAGGGCTAAAAGATGGTCCATATTATTAATCCAATAACTTTTAATAACCTTCTTCAAAAGTTTAATATGGTCTCTCTGTCTAGTCCTTTGATAGGCCATAAACATTGTCCACTGAAGAACATTCTTTCTTTCTAGCTAAACTGAGTTTTTCTAAAGCAAATTATTATTCCCTTATCTTTCCTGGTTATTAAACATTACTCCATGGGCAGATATCCACTCTGTCATAAATTTTTTCATACTCCTATTAGTGCATCTAATTTACATCAAATAGACCCAGGCAAGAAGCTCTCCTGAGGATTAATACTTTGGTTTTTTGTTGTTTCCCCCCCCCCCCCCGATTAGCTGCCAGTTGTACTGTAGCAATCAAACCAGGAAAACTCTTCATTCTTGAGACCTGAATATTTCACCTTAATGGCAACACAAATTAAAGGACAGCTTGGCATACTAAATCAATTCCTGGATCACAATTTTCACAGTGCATGTCCGTAACTATTCATGCCACTTCTAGTTGTCAAGACCTGGATGTTTCGCTCTATATTTCATTTTCCTAATGTTATTGTACGAGTCAAGTATCAATTTGAAAGGTTTATACTCCTTGTGACTAATGAAGAGTGGGTATTTTTCCATTGCTTAAAGCAAGGATTTTGACAACTGTATACATTCCATTAACACATTATTTTGGCCATGTGAATGTCTTAATGACATCTGAAATATTCTTAGTGTTAGTGGAGTTACTTTTTCCACTCAACCTAATTTGGGCAAACTCATTCCCTGCCTCTTGATCAAACCCATGGTTTTTTAATTATATTCTGTAGGAGTGGCTGAGATGGATGATTAACTCACTATACAGAGAAATGTCTTCAACTACTATAAAGCCATGCAGTGCCAGATTAATTATTTTGCCTATAGAACCATGCTATATTTATTACAGACATTGAGCGTGGTTCTATTATTGAATTAAGCCCAAGTAATTGTTAAGTGAAAACAGAAAACAGGAGTACAGCTAACAAAAATAAAAATTAACATGGAAATCATTCACTTACAAAATGGTTTTGGTATTTAACAATTATTATCTCCCAGAAGAAAGGTGTGAAATAAATGGCAGTATGAATTTTCTAGACACGGGACTTCGATGTAATTAAAACTTTATCTGTTAGCATTGTTTCCACCAAGCCACAGGGGACTACAGGTTAATATATTTGGTGCTGGCATAATGAAACACTAAGAATGTTTTTTAACAAGTCTTGTTATGTGTGGGTTTATGTAAAAACCTTGCCACTGTTACCATCATTAGTTTGCTTCACTAAGATTTCACTGAGATGTGAGATTTGGTGACCCATACATGTAAAAATTCAAGTATTTTATAAATTAACATGATCTGTGTCCTTTGCTTTACTACACACTTGTGTTACCATTTTTTCAATTTTAAAGTATTTTTAACAAAAAAAATTCTATTTCATTTCTAGAGAGGCAAGAATTATTTCAGCACACAAAATTTTCTTACACCTACTGTCAGTACTGCCTAGTCTATGATTTTATCTATGTTTATTTCTTTTTCTGTTGGACACAGCAGACTAGGCACTGCACAAAGAAATGTTCCTATCATAAAGTATGTTAATCAGGAGCATGTGCCAATAATATTGTGAAAATACAAGTTTGAGCATTCTTTATGCACCAAAGGGAATAACAATATGATTCTGCTGAATAAAATTGTCCAGAGATTTTGGCTCCTGTTTTGTCAATAATAAATCAATTTCTCATGTAAATACTGCTCTTGAGCACTGTTGTCCAAATTCTTACTTCAGTACAAAACCTGAAGCTGCTGGTCGTCCTTAGCAGTGACTAAAGTATGAACTAGGCAATAGGACACTCATCTATTAAGTCCTTCTGATGATAAAATAGTAGTTTATAGCTCCATGAAGGAGCAGCACTCCTTCATGATTTTACCTCTTTTCCTGTCTTTCAATGAGAGCATGAAAACCCCACAAGAGCAAATCCCTCCACCCCCACAAGCAATGCCCAGTGAGAGGAAAGAGCTTTTGACCAGTGGTTCTGCCTCTGAGCTTCCCCACAGCTCAAACAAGCCCGCAAGGCTTCCTTGTGTGCTCACAGCCATCCTGGGAAGCCTCCTCCAATTCCCCTGCTTCACTGTCTTTCAAATGACTCTATATACACCCTGCAAAAGCAGAACAGTGAAAGCTCAGGATCAACTTTTAAATAATGGCCAATTCCCAGCAACCTCAAGTAGAGTTATTCAGATATCTTCTGACAGCCAGTTTACTTAAGCTTCTGCTTAAATTTTATAAATAACCTTCCTCTTACTCCTGCAGAATATGCTGACAGATTTCACAATTTTCATCCCATTCCTCCTACAAAACTCTGAGGAATATTTATGGTGGCAAGGTCTGCAGGCTGTGTCCCCTCTTGCAAATCACTTTTTGGCCACTGTGATAGCCCTTACCACGTTCATCCATCCATGTATACTCCATGATGTGATTAAGCTATTGCAGTCTGGGCACTCAAGCTTCTCATCTGCTACATATCCTCTTCACTAGCATTGGATGCAGTCCAACAAGCTCTATTAATTCTGCAGAAGCTACTGGCAAAAAGAGCCTTTTTAGTAAGTAAGTTTCCTAGGCTGTCCTACACAATTCAAAAGGGATTTGAACTGTATTTTTAAGTTCCTTCGAAAGTCACTGGAGCTGAGGTTTACGGACAGAGATTTTTTTAAGACAGCCAGTAGCTCGGCTTTATCAAGCATTTATTCTCTTGTTCTAGTTTTTTATGTTGTATTTGCCAGCACTCTGTGCCTCTCCATCCTGGGTTTCAGGTCACTCATCAAGACATCTGGTCAACTTACTCTTGTTCATTGAGAAACAGCTTATGAAAACAAACACAACACAAATGCTGTTGCAGTAAAATATGGCTTTTCTCTACATTTCCTGTTTCTGTTTGAGAGAGTCAAAAGGAAGTTTCAAATTCTTGCTGATGCACCCATAATATCCTTTCTTGAGGTTTTCGGACAAGAGACAGTTAGAATTCTTAAGTTACTGAAATTCTGTAATACATTCCTGCCCTGCTCATCCACTGTTAAAATGCATTTTTACAAGTGATACGACTGCAAATTTTCATTTATCACAGAAATTCAACACAACTGTTGTGACTATCTGTCTTTTCAAATAAAGTTCATGACTACAACAATGAATTTGCTGTTCAGGTATTAAATGCTATGTTACTATGCTTAGATTTAGATATAAATACCTGTCCATCATTTTAAAACAAACAAAAAAAACCCCAAAAAGCCATTTTTATTCTCTTTCCTCTGCACTGACCCAAGTTCTAACATTGTGACATGTTCATTTAAACTGCCATGATTTGT